ATTTGAACCTCAAAAGGAAAGATATTTTACGAAAGAATATTGAGTAACGATTAATATTATTGAGTATGATTGATATTTATAAAGAGTTATCCTTAAGATATTTTTTATGTAGCGATTTAATCGTAATTCAAATTCAAATTTTTGACATTCTGTAATGTTTTAAAATATGATTCGAGATAAAGATTGGAATTAATATATAAAAGTGTGTGATTTTATTGAAATATTTATTCACGAATTAATCTTTGATGATAAATTGAGTTGTAAATAAGTTATATCCTGACATTTATTTCCATACGAACTTTCAAATCCTTTCTTCCATGTTATCTGAATGCTTTTTTTTTATCTATTATCAAAAAGGACTATATAGTTTTTTTCTTTTCCTTGAAACAAGTTAGTTCCTTAAAACAAGTTTTTATCTCGTTATTTAACATAGAATATTTCTCAAAGTAAATGATTATAGCTGTTTCTGGTCGATTTTATATCGTGATTAATGAAAAACGTGACTTTTAGTTTTTTTTTTTCGAAAATATTGGGACACTTAAAAATATATAGAAATTAGTAGAAGAAAAAAAAATTATTTATTGATTGAAGCGAACTGTTCGAACTTTTTATCGCATGGATTTAAAAATTTAAAAATTCAAAAATAGATATGATAATTATATATTTTGTATATAATTAATTGTATATTTTAGGTTAAATGAATAATCAAATTAGTTTCGTTTCAAAAACTTATTAAGAGACTGATAAATATTTATGCAAAATTTGAAAATTCACAAAAAGATGCGGAATAAGACATAATCGAGGATACATTACGTTATATTAAAAAAACGAAATAAATCTTTATTTAACCTCGATTTCTTTGCTCATATTCAGAAATATTTGATTTTGGACAAACATCCGTAGTTTATTCATTAAATACAAAAGTATTATTCCTTTATAAACATTATATCATCACCGATGCACCAGTTTCAAACTTCGATATCGAAACCGCATCGAGGCCACAAAAACATTGATCTCTAAAAAAAGCGAAGCACGCGTCTCGACGATTAAAAATAATCTTTGTTTGTCTCGTTCGCAGATTAAATTCGCAAAACCTAGACGATCAAGTGTAATAAAAAAAAAAAAAAATTAAAAATTAATTACATAATAATCGCATGATTACATAACTCTTATTATACTGCTCGATAATTTTAATACGCCAATCGGATTGAGGCACATCGACAGCTGATTCGGTAATTGACATAGGTGAAAGAGACGTCTGCGGCAATTTATTCGAAAAGAGGAGTCAACGATTCCCTTAACCCCGATCACAAATTGGGCAAATGGATTGATACCAATTTATACGATGATCGAACGAATAACCAAAGTTCACAATTTGTTCTTTCGTTTCTAATTACGGATTCGACCTGTGCCCGTATTATATTTATTATTAGGCGACGAGAGACGCACGAGCATACGACTTCGATTACGCGAACGTTAAACCGGAGGTTGAACGACTCGATTCGAATAAATGTAATTAAGGATCGTGTCGACCGGTTTCGATTTTAATTTTTTATTTGACGAACGCCAGTTGAACGGATGCCGTTTCTCTAGGATTCCATCGCGAGAAATCTTGTCGCGAAGAAACGGAAACGAGATTATTACGCGGGAACATTTAACGCGAGAATATTTATTGATCCGATCTGATGAGTATCGTACGTATTCCTTATGTAAATTGTTGGTTGTGAATAATACACTTGTGAAGGAAAATTAGAACGTATATTATATTGCACTTCGTACACATCGTGTTTTTTTTTTTTGTATTGTATTGATCTTTGCAATAATCTTTGCAATTTCGCAAAATTCGTTATTTTTAATTTTTTAATTTTTCTCGTAAGTTTCAGACTTATATTCCGATAAAAGATACAAAAAGATACATCGTCATACGATGTAACACGTTTATCGATATTGTTAACAAAAGCTGCTTATTACGCGTAAAACGATATTGCGTGCATTCCAAAATGATATAGACACGTCAGTGTCAAAGTGATGGATGTAGAAAAGACAAAATGAAAAAAAAAAAAAAAAAAAAAAAAAAAAAAAAAAAAAAAAAAAAAAAAAGAAGAAAAAAAAAGAAAATAATTGAGACGCGACATTTTAATCTGCGCATATTTCGACAGCAAGGTGTCAACGATGTTATTAACCCTGATCCCTGAGAGAATGTAATAGGCTCGAAATAAATAACGATGAGATCATAAAATTGTCTAATCTTGACTGCTGACACGTGCATATGTGATTATTTCTGTGATGTCAATGAAACGGGAAGTGGAAAATATGCAAAATTGCGTGATTCACCTATCACGAATACTTATTTGTTAAAGAACCAAGTTTAAGTTACGACAGGAAAGTGCCGATTATACTTTATTTCGTTCAAAATAAATTAGACTGGTTCGTATGAATTTCAATAAAAATCGTTTAAACTGGTTTTATGATTTTATTCGGAGGTAGGAGCTCTCAAATCACATTTAATCAGAGAGATCTATCTGTGGATCTCCAAATATGCGACAAGTTGAATTTTTTCATGTTTGCCAAGAAAAAAATTCATTTTTCGTATTATATGATTATTCTATATTATTCGTTAATAATAGTTATAAATATATCTATATAGATTTAATAATGATCGTTTGCTAAAAGTAATTACGGATTTTGTCTAAATATTAGAAAATTAATAATTCTTCTTTATATTTTATGTGATGAAATTAGAGATTTTTAAGAAAACGATATTTAAAGAGTAACGATATATATCTGAAATCAAAATCTAAAGATAATAAATTTCGTAAAAAAAAGTTAAGATTAAAAATATATTCTTCATAAGTTATAATCAATATTCTTTTTAATATTTAATGATAGCAATTCATAATATTTCAAAATATTTTGAGTAATATATATTTGAATACTTCGAAATCAATATTTAAATATTATCCACCATGTTAAAAATGACGCATAACGATAATCTTACACATTATTGATTAAATCAATAAATCGTACGAAAGTAACTATTGTTTATTTCAAAATCACTAATTATATAAGTAAAATATTTTTTTTTAGAAACTATTAGAAATTTAATTACACGCTAAATTAAAGTTATTGATCGTTACATAAATAATAAAATTTTTAAATCAATGACTTACGTCATAAAATTATCAAAGGAACCAGTGACTTTTAATCCATTTTATATCTTAAAATAATATCTGCATTCTATATTTATTGTTTGGACAAAGAATGAATGAACATATTATATATATTTCGTAATTTTTGATTCAGTTTCAAGCAAGGAAAATATTTCTCTCGTCTTATATTTAAGAATGAGAAGAGAATGAAATAAATTACAGTTGCCTTGAAATTTCAGAATCAATAATCTATAATTCTGCGCTTTTAACATGTATTGTACGATTTCCAGTTTTTTTTTGTTCATTTTGTTTCGGATAATTTATCACGTGAAATAATCTAAACGAGCACGAGATTTGAGGAGCACGAAAATACAATTGATACGGCTATTAAATTGTAAAATGAGATATAACATATGTTGATTTAAAGTCAATTTTATTTATAGCGTCTTTATTCCTAATGAATGTTGCAATAAAATTGTTGTATAATTATTTTCCTTACTGGAGTTTATATATACGATATATATATATATTTGTAGATTAATTCAACAAACTTTTTATGATAAATCTTTTTCTCATAAAAAAAAGGAGTATAAAAATTTAATTATTAAAATTTTCAATTAATTCTAGTAAACATATATAACATTCTTGAAAAAAAACATATATGTATAGTAGGCAGAATATATATTTGGTAAAATTTCACTTTAATTTACCTATATAAATATTTATCGACGCATCGTTCGAAACCGTTTCCCTCCTTTGGCAAGAGTTAAAAGCAAATAGATCGATTCACATTTCATCGTCCTTTGGTTTATTTCCAGATCCAGACAACCAGGGATTTTGTGTGTAATTGATTTCATGCCGGTTTACTAACCTTTTTACTCGTCTAACTATCGATCGACTCTGGTAGGTCACGTACAAAGTTATATGATGAAACACATCACAAGAGAAAGGGAGAAAAAATTTGAAATTCGTAGGAAACGTTACAGCGCCAGATGCGCGATCTGTCGGCATCGATATCGTTAACCTTGATCCTGTGGTGGCGTGGGCATCGGCCGATGCAAGGCGATTACAAAGCCCAATAGGTGGATAATGATGTAGAAACGCGTTCGACGTAAATGGATTTGGCATGTGCGATGGGAGTGGCGAATGGTTTCGCAGACGAAAAAGGAGACGGGTGAAAGAAAAAGAGGTGAAAACGAGTGGAGGGGATTAAAAGTTAGATATGTGAAGAAGGGAAGAAATAGTTTGGTTAGGCGATGTTACGCGACGAAGAAAGAGAAGAGTGGAGCGAAGAAGATGAAAAAGAATACAACGCGACGAGGACGATGGAAGTGGTGGCAACGACGTGGTCCCTAACGATGGTGGTGGTGGTTTAACGTTGTTGGTAGAGGTGGCGAACATCGTCCGAGAACCCAGAGAAGTGAGCATTGACCGTGATCAGGAGGGTGCAGTGGGGTTCGAGGTTGTGTGGTGTACAATGGTGGGGAAGAAGCATAGTTATAGCGAGTGGAGTTTAGCCGTTAGGTCGTTCAGTGGTTCGTGGTTGTACGCGTGTATGTGTGCGTGTGCACGTATAAGGATCGCACGCATGTGTCGGCGACGAGGAAAGGGACGAAGGAGGTAC